TCGAGTCGCTTGCTACAAATTGCGCTGAAACGCATTATGGTACACGATTCGTGTACTAATCGTAAAATGTTTATTTTGTCTTAAATATTGGATATCAGAAGCCTATGTTTTCCCGGTAAGATCACAACACCAATGTTGATTACAATTGACAAATAATTCGTGTTTTCAATGTCGATGGTTTTGGATGATATTGAGTTAGAGACTTAGCTACTTTAATCAGACAAAAAGACACCCATAAAAAATTACTTGACATTTTACAGACAATACTAGTATCAGCTGCTGACCATACACAATGAAGTCGTGGTGGCGCAGCGAATAGGCACTGGTATACTAACTAGGAGTTTGATCAAGTTGGCCCAGAAAGTTTCCTGGTGTTTTCAGCCGCTGTATTCCAGTGTCAGTGATGCAGGGGTGGGCGGGTGTCATAGTTGAGTCGTTCGGATGATCTAATGTAAACTTTAGATCATAAGGTCTATCATTGAGTCAAGTTGCGTGGTTTTCGATCATAAACTCGTACATGACCAGGAGTAGGATCACCTACCACTGAGATAGATCCTTATGCGTAAGATCTCGATTGTAACATTCACTGATTTCATTTACAATAGCAACATTTAAAAAGAAGTTAACCGTCAACCTACGATTTCTTAAAATTTAAGAGGGGTTCACTAGTCCGTCGCTATAAGAAATACCAAAAAAATATGGGTATCAAAAAACCTAATCCGAACCATAACTCTAACCTTAATAATAGATATCAGTGGACTAATGAACTCGCCGAGTAGTGCATCTTAGCCCTAACCCTAACCCAACCCCTAATAATAGATATCTGTGGACTAATGAACCCGCAGACCAGTTAACCCGCGGACTAGTGAGCATTCACCTAAAATTTAGCTTCCAGAATACCGACTAACCATTCACAGATTCCGTCTGAATCATCCTACTTATTATTGACGTTATTATTTTATTATTATCATCCATTCTTCCGATTATCAGTAATAATCGCATTTATTAGATTCATCACTCACTCAAAAGAACATTATCTCGATTTCTTATTCGATTAGTGGCTGCTTTAAGGCATGAACTACTTCCGTATGACGTCAACAACGATTGCAATTGACCATATTAATACTCGGTAATTGGGATAAACTTCGCTTCTGGACAATAACATCATTAAATGAATATTAGACTTCATCATCCAGTTTATCTCCTATCAACCTGTCAGTCGTGGAGTTTAGGCACGGTCACTCTTTATCTAATATCACGTTCGGATACTTATAGTTAAGGTGGGGTGATGTCGATTGGATCATAAGGTCTGTCACTGAGTCAATTTGTGGCGTAGTTTCGACCCGAAGCTGGTACGTGGCAAGGAATATGATCGCCTGTCTAACTTCGTGGTGTTTCTCTGGTTCCTCCCCCCCCCCCCCACACACCACCCAACCCACCTGCCAAAGACTCCTTCACGCCAGCGAATTATTTATTGAAATGAAACTGTGCCATAGGTTAGTCACGAAATGACGTTCAAACCCTGGTATATTGACGCAGATCACCAAATATTCCTACGCGTAAAGATATTTGTAGTCTTTCTCTCTCCCTTTCCCCTTTTCCCCCTTTTGCATGGCGAATCGTGTTGACTTTTTGGTGTAGAATCCAAGAAAAGGGTTTAAAAATACATTTTCGGTCCGGTATTAGTGAATATTCATGATTTTGAGGCAGAAGGATACAAGACGTGAGAGGTTGGTTAGGTTGAAATGTAGGGCGGAAAATTGCATGTTTACATGTCAAATACCGCGACATTATATAAACATTGCCGCGATTGAAGAATTATTATACATTATTGTATTCAAAATGTCTGAACGTCTTGCAAAGCGTGCCCGAACAGATTTGACATTAGATGTAAAGCGGCAACCTATAGCAGATTTCGAGAAAGTTCCACGACCTGCGCAGAAGGAATTAGCCGTTAAGTATTCAATTGGCCGAGCTACAGTGTCAGACATATTACATGTAAATGATTTTATGAATATATTGTACGCATGCATTGTTATTATTAATTATTTAATGTAATAAAGGTACAGAAAGGTTTATCATTTTTAAAGGGAATAGCATTCTGGTGATTCGAAGCTACAATATCAAAATACTTCCGGTTTTCGAAGTTACAGTATTTCCGGTTTTTGAGAAAGCTCGGTATTCCGACACGCTGTGTGATCCGAAATATTGTAACGATCCCGTACGATGTCGGATGTGACAGAGTCCACTGTATTTGTCTCTACTTCTAGTTTGTATATCTCAAGTTTTTCATGAAGAAACTCATACGTGCTTTTGGGCAAGAGGTTGCCACATGTTGCCCCATCTGTGGTAGAAAGCGTTCTACCCAATGAAAATTTGGGAAAAAGTTAGTGCCGGTCTAAGAGATGAGAATTAACATTAAAGTCAATGGGGAAATCTTTAGTGATCTGAGTAACCGAGTGTAGCATTCACGCGTGCTTTAACCAAGAAAACTTATATTGACTTCATGGGCACAAAAGATAACTTATCGTACGTGCCTTTTGCTAGGTAAAAGTTCGAAATGAATAAAGCAGTATACCCAGAGAGAGAGAGAGAGAGAGAGAGAGGGAGGGGAGAGAGAGTAGGATCGCATACCAATGAGATAAAGATATATATATATATATATATATATATATATATATATATATAGAGAGAGAGAGATATTAACGCCCACTCGACACAACTCAGTGGTGCAGGGCAGAGGGCCTGGCAAGGGACTACGTGTACTAGTTCGGATGGGGCAAAAACCGAGGTACCATGTACACATTGACGTACACGTAAAAGACCCCTTGCCAATTGTAATTCGATATACGAGTGGCCGTAGTGCCGCTGTCTAGGCGAAATTGCCCTCATAGCACAATGTATGGCGTATGGACGTTTTCATTAGTCCAGTCGGAGCAGAACAGAGGGACGTTAAATCCCATTACCTTTCATTTCTCCGTTCATATTTAAATTCAACTAGATTCAGCCAAAATACACCTACTTCCGAACAGGTTTATCATGACAAACTTTCCCCACCTTTGATGGAAAGAACACATGCTACCAACACTACAACTCTTTAGTTTGACCTCAATCAAAGAGGCTTAGCTCGTTTAACATTAATTTCGTGTAATTTAAAAATAAAAAATCAATTCTACTTTACGAGCAGGTGTTTTTCTGATGTAATCTAGAGATGACAATAACATAAGGGCGACGGGTTGATTGAAGGAAGATAGTCTGTCTTAAGGAGGTTTGGGGGCGAGTAGTTTAGCGCGTACCCTTGAGAGAGATAGAAAGAGAGAGAAAGAGAGAGCTTAACGTCCACACGACACAAACTAGGTCTTTTTGGGGACTAACACATGGTTCAATTTTATTTTAATAATTGGCTTGCGCGTTGAGGTCTTTAGCTGTGGTAGGAAACCAGATAACCCGGAGAAAACCCCCGAGGTTGGACAGGCGACCCCACTCCGGTACAAGCGGCTATTCGAAAACCATGCCACTTGATTCAATGACAGACCTTATGATTCAACACGCACGCGTTAAACCATTCGGCCACCTACTCACCCACCCCCCGAACACTACAGATCATAAGGTCTGCCACACTCAAATGTCTTGGTTCCGAGCCCAAGATAGCATGTCTGAAGGGAGCGAGTGGTCTGAAACGTGTTGTCGAGAATAAGGCCTGTCTTAAGTCTATATGAACTTAAACTGTTCGAATTTCTAAATTTGCACATTAAGCAATAACAATTATTACAAGCCGATATGCCGGTAAATCATTCTGGCTTGTATAAAGAGATAAACCATGGTCATTATTAAAGAAGAATGCAAGTACCAGGCACTGAGTTAACACAGTTAAGTTAAGAATACATGTATTTTTATTTATTAAATCTGAATTTGGATTGGAGAACAGGCTATGTATATGTGTAACCCATCTCTCAGATTTATATACATATACACATTATACATACATACATACGTACATATGTATATACATACATACATACATACATACATACGTACATAAATATAGAATAAATAGGATACACAAAGAATGATATAGAGACTTTTGGTTTTGGGTTTTTTTTAAAACAAATATTTGAGTGGAAATTTTGCTGGAAATCTATTTAAGAAATATCTTTGATCAAGAAACACAAAACCTTTCACATAGTTTCTTATTGATGTATTTGATGTATTAAAACAACAAAATATAGGCTATATTTTAGTTAAAATAATTAAGGCGAACAATTTTGAGTAAATTGTTAACTTATGTCTGAGAATGCTTTGTGAACTCGGGGCCAGAACTTATAAACTGTTAGAAAGTCTAAATGTATATGCACATTAAACAACTAGTATTAATAAAAGCTGATTAATTATTCTGGTTCTTTTTGACACTTTACCACCATGTAAAATTTATTGTAAGTGAATTTATACATGAAAATCTGATTTAAAAACAAATGAACAAGTTGACAAGGTATTGCATGATGGCTTTAAAGCCGCTGATCCGTGTTTGATTGATTTTGAATCCTTTGTAAACTTCAGACTCACAGTCGCTTTAATATTAGCTTTATTTAACCACAAATGGTCACACACAGTATTACAGAGAAATGATGAAATGAAATGGGGTTTAACGTCCTATTGACTGGGCTAATGAAGACGGGCATGCGACATACAGTATGCTATGAGGGAAAGTTTGGACAGCGGCACTACGGCCTATTTTTATTTCGAATTCCAACTGCCAAGGGTTCTTTTACGTGCACAACAATGTGTACACAGGGCCACAATTTTTCGTCCCAACTGAGCGACTATACGTTGTCTCCTGCCAACACAAACTAGGACATTTCGGGACTAACACATGGTTCAATTTTTTATTTCAATAATTCGCTTGCTCGTAGGGGTCTCTAGCAGTGGGAGGAAACCAGAGGACCCGGAGAAAACCCACGATGTTGAAATTACAAAGAAGAATATTAAATAGTTATACTTACAGTGCATTCATTGAACTGGTTGTTATGTTATACCATCATTAAATATATTCCCATCCAAATATTTAATCCAAAATATATTGAATTAAAATATGTCACCACATCACAGTCGGATTGATATCACAATTACGTATGTTAAGTAACTCTCAGTGTAATTTAATCATTTAAGGATTCAATTCAGTTTTTTTCAGTGAGTGTTTAATAAAAATATCTAAATTTATCAAACATGTGCGTTTTTGTGTGTGCCCGACATGAAAGCTTATCTGGATTACCACCCCAACATCGTCAACATCTCCGTTAATCGCATTAAGTCAAGCGACATTGACGGATTCAACCTGTTTCAGTCGAGATCCTCTCGTCTTAATAATAAACAATACAATTACTCCAAGATATCCTTTATAGAATATTTGTACGTAGTTTGCTCTGACGAAGGAAGTTCTATCCAGTTCACTGATGTCCTTTCATCTCATAACTCACGAAGATTCATTCATTTTCACCAGCCTCTGACATTTTCGTCCTACAAGAAAGACAAAAGAAACGGAATTAACAAATTGATGATATCGATCAGAAGAAAGATAAGTCGTCTTGATGTAATCAAAAACAAATTAAAAAAAAATTTATAAAATAAAAAAAAATATATAATTTAGATTACAAAAATGAAATGATATTAACGAACCAGCAGTCTCCGTCTCCGCCTATGTTAATCGATATTTAAAACTGACCACAATAAATGAAGACGTATAAGAATATATGAGAAGATAAAACAAAGGAGACAATCGGATTATAAACGGATTCCAGAAAGGAATCAGAATTAATCGGGGTTTAACCCCTCCCACCTGTATGCACTAATCAGATTAAAGCGAGAAATGGGTTTTAACGTCCACTCGGCACAAACTAGGTCATTTCGGGACTAACACATGGTTCAATTTTATTTTAATAATACGCTTGCGCGTAGGGGTCTTTAGCAGTGGGAGGAATCCACTGACCAGGGGAACACCCATTATTGGAAAGCACTGAGAACTGTGATCGACGAGTTAGCAGACCACTGCCGTACACACCGAGCCGCCGTGGCCCCCTTTAATACAGAAACCGTAACATTAGTCTAGTCTATATAAGGAATACTCTATTCATTTATCTGCAATATCACCTCGATGGAAGCGGACGTTAAATAAAGCTATTTCGCACACATTTATCATAAAACAGAAAGGGGAATTAAATAAAATGTCTTCCGAGGGTTTCGCTCGGTTGTTTGTCGCAGCGGTCAACAAATGTAAATAATTAATTAAGGTTAATTATATCCGCGACGAACGTGAATTCTATGACCAGGGCTATTCAGAAAAACAGGAAGATAATTCGTACTACCAGACAACCAGTATCACAGCACAATACTGCTACTGGAAGATCAGTCTCGGTTCTTAATTAAATAAAAGTCAGGAAAATCAAATCGCTTCTCACCACAATCATCGAAGAGAAAGAGCACACCTTTGACATTACTCAAACTCGGTTTAAAGGAGCTCAGTCTCTAACTCAATTTTATCCAAAATCTTCAACATTGAAAACACGATTTATTTGACAAATTAAATCAACATTCATGTTGTGATCTTACCGGAAAAAGGTGGGCTTTTGATATCCAATATTTAAGACAAAATAAACATTTTACCATTGGTACACGAATCGTGTATCATAATGCGCTTCAGCCCCAGATGTATCAAGAGACTCGAGGGACGAGGCTAGACACATTGCACCAAATCAAACGGCGTATGTAGACTGGAATAACCAGACGCTTAAAACTTGCACTCGCTTGAGACTGCTGGCTTATTTCGCCAAACATAACTGATTTGAAATTGGAGTAAAAACGGAAACCATTGAATGTAAATCAGTTTATATACATTCATATTACAGTATTATATGCGTTGCGACCCACTTTTGTCAATTTCTAGGTCCCAAATGTTAGCGATTTAGCTCCTTTAAGTCTGTCCCAGGTGAGGCACAGATGAAACGATGTATCTTGTAGTCCGGATAAGTTGAAGATACAAGGTATACTATACTTATTTATAGTGCACGTAAAAGATCCCTTGACAGGTAGACAATTCGCACATGTGACCATCGAGATGAAAAATAATACTATGCGAACTTATTCATCTATATTCCCCCATTTCCATGAAACAGGGGGGTTGGATGGCCGAATGGTTAGCGTGCGCGCGCTGTATCATACAGTCTGTCATTGAGGCGATTGGCGTGGTTTTGAATCCCCGGTTTCGATTACTCGGTTGTACATGACAAGGAATAGGGTCGCCTGTCCAACCTCGTGGGTTTTTTCCGGGTCCTCCGGTTTCCTCCCACTGCTAAAGACCCCTATGTGCAAACGAATTATTGAAATAAAATCAAACCATATGTTAGTCCCGAAATGACCTAGTTGTGTCGAGTGGACGTCAAACCCCATTTCTCTCTCTCTCTCTTTCCATGAAACACACGACGTGCCTCGACGGATCGTATCAATATTTACCTTTCCGATATAGATAGAAATGAAAATAACACAATATATTAGTCTTAAAATGATTATAGTGACGCTTAACTATTTATCTGTATTACCTCGGCGGATTCGAACTTGAATCGTATCAATATTTACCTATACGATACAGATCAAAATTAAAAACAACACAATATGTTAATCTCAAAATGATTATGATGACGCGAAACTATTCAACTGTATTTCCTCCATTTTATGAAACACACGACGTGCCCCAGCGGATTCGAACTTGAATCGTATCGTATCAATATTTACCTATCCAACAGATATTATAACTTGACAGTGTCTTAATCCACGCCAGCTGAACTACATGTTACCTCTACAAGTGAAGAATGACCGTTGACTGTTGTAATCCTGTAGATTTATCAGTCGATGTTTGATCGATATTTGTAAACGAGCTGTGAAAACATCCTAATGATCAAGTACCTCCAGCTATCTCGCCTCGTTGTTTTGTGTTTTCTTTAAGCGACGTTCCCATATTAGCCCTTACAAAACATTACAGAATGGACACCACCGGAAGTGACATATTTTTGTCAAAAGGGTTATGGTTTGAGCGGTTATTAATTAACTCATAAAACCCGACTGTATCTGTAAGTGGTATTAGAGATTGAGCAACATTAACAGAACTTAGAACTTATAAACCTATAACGGTAAATCTCTTTGATCTTTGGGGTATATTCTATGTCCGAAATAACTCGCGGTCTGAACGTCGTGGGCATTTTTGAATATATAAAGGGTAATTTGAGGTTATTCCTCTGAAAGTTTTTCTTTAAACCTGTAACGGGTTTCCAGGGTAGTTTTTTTTCCATAAGAAAACATGATATAAGGTGTTTCTTACTGGAATTCTGGAATTTTCTCATTTTATGTACATGTAAACATAGACGGTTTATAAGCAAGATAAAGTCCTCGACTTCGGTTATGTTGGGGAAGAAAGACTTTAGAAACAACCTGCCGGCCTCGACTTTTCTTTCTCTCGGGTTATTTTCTTCAGTCTTTGATTCCCCGGCAGAACCCCAGCCTCGTGCTATATCCTAAACATAATGTGTATGGGAAGCAATCACGGTTTTGATTATATAAAACATGAATTTTCGACAAGTATTACACACTTTTATATATTATTTTACTAATACACCCATCGGACCGGAGAAAAATGGTCTCAGGACACGTCAAGGTCGCCATAAGCGTGATAAAAGCATGTTTTAAACGCCAGATATCGTGATGTGGTCTCCATGGGTCGCAAATGATCGCCGAGTCACGGCGTGTGTTTTGAGCATGTTCAAAACAAACGTCAAGGTTTTGCGATCTGACCTGGAAAGCTTCGAGAACGCGACTTTTTTCAAGTTTGTAAGTTTTCGGGACATTTTCTTGCGTCTTGTTCACGTTTTCTGGCGATCTAATGCATTTTCTGGTTGTTGTACGGTCGCAGCAGCGCAGTCTGACAGAGGCATAATCTAAGGGAGTCACGGTAGCACTGCGCTGTTACGGCGACGGAAAATGGTCTCAGAGTGCGTCAAGATCTCCATAAGCGTTGGGAAAGCGTGCTGTGGTCTCCCTTCATTCTCTTATTGGGCTACATTTAGTTGGGTTCATTACTTAGCTTTTATTATTTTTACCAACCGGCAAAACTGTTCTAAGCATTAATGTCTCTTTAAGGTCAAGTTTTTAAGGCAGTTATTTTTTTTTATAAGACTTGCGAACAATGATCTAGGTGATATCATTAAGTTCCCATCCTGGGAGAATTCGGTTATCCGCCGATTAATCGGATGACTGCAGCAGCTAGAATGAGTGAATTATAATGTCACAATATTGACATGCAGGTTATACAGGAGAGGTTTAACGTCATTTAGAGATGGTCGACTTCAAACTACACTTAATACCAAAATTTAAAGAGAATTGAATTGAAATGAAATGGGGTTTAACTTCCAATCTTACTTCATCAATCAGTATAAAGAAGAAGGACATACACCGTGCAGTGAATACGAGGGGGATTTGGTCCGAACAGCGGCGTTTTTTCGTCATCGAATACCAATTGTCAAGGTATACACTGACGCCCCTCTATCCTGCACCTTGCTGTCTAGTCGTTTGAATGGGACCAAAAAAAACCGAGGCCCCCTGTACACATTGGCGTTCACGCAAAAGATACCTTGGCAGTTGAAATTCGATATAAATAAGAGTAGGCCGCAGTGCCGCTGTCCGGGCAAAATTTCAGTCATAGCACACTGTATGGCATATGCGTGTCTTCATTAACCCAGTCCGGAGCCGAATAGTAGAACGTTAATCCCCATTTCATTTCATTTCTATCCTGCACAACAGGCAAGGGGGGAGACCACACTGGAACGTTGACTCAATGACAGACCGTATGATACAGCGCGCACATGCAAACCATTCTGCCATCTACCCCCCCCCCCCCCCCCGGCAGCTTTATGACACTTTAAGGCAGCCAGTTGGCAAACAACAACAATCTTCTTTAAATAAACCCGTTACTTGAATCACGACCAATTATTGGTTAATTTAACAGTGGAAGCGAGATTATAAAACAGAAGATCAGAATCAATGGATTATTTGAAAAACTCCACAGCTGTAGAGAAGTCGCAAGATAACCAATCCCCCATACACTTTCAACACGAAAGGTGAATGAAATTGGTTTTAAAATGCTATTTTGCTTCCTCCTATCTGGGTAATGAAGATGGATATAACGTCATGCAGTGTACTATTAAAAGCAATTTTTCTCATCCGGGGGCGTTTCTGCTTACACTTCATCCGGGGAGCCACGGTGACTAAGTGGGTAAGACGCTGGCTCGCTAGCCTGGAGGTCCGGTGTTTGGTCCCTGCATTGGCCGAGAAAGTTCATCCAGATTTTCCGGTTTGGTTCCCCTTGTCATTAATGCAGGACGGAGGGCCTGACAAGGACAGCTGTCTAGTCGTTAGGATGGGACCAAAAACCAACGTCCCGTGTACACATTGGCGTGCACGTAAAAGATCCCTTG